GGCTTGGGTTCTATATGATCCCCCCACGAAATCAGAACATATGTGTAATAGATAGACATGCACGGTCTCACACTCCCCTCGAAGGGGAGAAGGGACCACACTCCCATCACAGAAGGAGTGCAGGTCCGCACGCCAACCTGACAGTGGGAAGCGGTGCGCCACGGCATCGAGTTGGGAGCCCGCCTGCAATGTCGATTGGAGTGCGGACCTGCACTCCAATTTCAATTGGAGTGCGGTCCCACACTCCCTTCAGAGAAGGGAGTGTTGGAGTGTGTGTGCGAAGGGGGGTGGAGTGTGATTATCACTCCCCTTCCACTATAGGACCGGTGGTGTACCAACGGTGGGCTGCTACGCTACACTACGCTATTTGGCCACTACAGGTTAGCGTAGTTGCTTTTTTTTTGCTGGAAATCCTGTAGTGTTAGTTCACGCTACACACCGCTGAGCTAACTGCCAGCATAGCATGAACTTTTTCCATCAAATTTTTTTTAGTGTTAGCTTGAAATAATTGCCACTAAACTAACAAGTAGCGTAACTTTTTCCAAGCTAACAAAACTTCCACTAGCCATCAGCGTAACTGAGTTGACACTAACATTTAGCGTAACTTATACCAAATTAAGCTACACTACACTACACTACATGCCTAGTTACGCTACACTACATCAGAAGTTACACTACACATGTAGCGTAGTGTAACTCATCAATTAAAGAAATTGATGTGTCAAGCTGGATTTTTGCACAACTTATGTGAAATGTTCATATGACTGATATGGCCGAGGTCCACGGTAACGATTTTCAATGTCCCGTGATCACACACAATCCCGCAGAAAATGAACAGCACAAGATGTGGAGAAAAACAAACAAGGATGTGCTTAGTGAGATTTGAACTCACAACCTCAGCAATGCTGAGTCACATACAAGAGTGCTTCCTTTACCAACTAGGCTACAGATGCTTGTGTTTGCCAGGTCAGTTGGGTGGTAGCTGTCATGGCCCATGCCAACAGCTCCACCACACTCTGGTGATACATAATGGTAGCAGACTATCATACACATCAACCGCCCCCCCCCACCCTTGCTGCATGATGTGAAAGTGGAAATTGAACACAAGTAAGTGTGGGAATGGAACCCAGTAAAGTATGGTCAGAGGGGAAATTGAACCCATGGTCTTAAGGTAGTCTGACAGGGGAATGTGGTCTTACAAGTAAGTGTTAAAAAATGGCAGGGGGCTAAAATTGAGTGGCCCCCAGTACCAACTGAAAAAAAAATGATGATCAATTGAGGGGATCTGGAGGGGATCTGGATGTAGGCCCCCCAATCAGGCACTGTCTTCAGGGTAGACTAGCGCTAGTCATGTGGTCATGTAACTACATAGTCAGTTACACTAACAGTTAGTGTAACTTTTAATCAGTTACACTAACAGTTAGTGTACCTTTTTCACCAGTTACGCTAACAGTTAGTGTAAATTTGCAAAAAGTTACACTAACATGTAGTGTAGTGGGTTCACCCACTAACACCGCTGAAATTTCACTAACAGGATTTTGGGTAGTGTTAGTTGTGCCTTTTTAAAGGTAGCTAACACTACGCTAAAGTTGTTTTTTTGTTTTTCAAAAATCCTGTAGTGTTAGTGGGCCAAAAATTCCCACTAACGGTAACTTTTGTGTAGCGTAGCTTAAAAAGCTAACACTACGCTACACTAACACTACGGTTAGTGTAACTGGCCCACCGTTGGGTGTACCCAACAACACACAGCCGCAAATGACACACGGACTGGAAGCACATGGAAACAGTGTGATGAGACTGGTCTTTTTGGTATGGCGTGCTGCCATGATCACATTCTGAGTCTTATTAACATTGTTCAAAGTGGAGAGAAGTGATGTCTTTCAATTGGATTCCTCGAATGTAATTAATATTTATATGAAATCTCATTGCTGCTCATTGTCATGTAACCCTGAAGGGCCTACTTTCCCATGACCATGATTGATCATCTCATTCAAAGCACCAAAAAGGATACAGGAGATCATAAGAAGTTGGCATTTCTGTATGATATTGGCTGCAACATTGAGAAAGGAATTATCAGGGTGAGCATCCCAAATTTCTTGCTTCAAATCTACCTTTCCCTTTCCAATACTGAAATTTGGGTGTAAACAGAGAAATCAATTCCAACAAGAGAGGGAACAAAACCGTCTACTATTTGGCACTAGTGTATTCCATGCCTATGTGCATGAGCGGTCATGTCAGCTCAATTACAATCCTTGTCTAAATGACCATTGGGGTATGTCTGATGGGGAGGGAATGGAACGAGTTTGGGATTTCCTGTCCCCTTTAATTGCTCAACTTAGATACTCAACCAAGAACCATAGGTTGGCTGTGTTGAATTTGCGAGCACTCCATCACAATGAAAGCAGGAAAATCTCTGCCTGTGCGTTGTTTCAGATAACCAATTAAAAATTTTGCACTCTTCACAAGCCACTGATTAAATTTAGCCAGTTTGATTGCTCTTAGAAAGAGGCAAGCACATTGAAAAATGCATGCACGACTCCCTCTGTGTCCTAGAAACCGTGGAAGGTGTCACTGCAAAAACCGCGAAGTTACTTTCAACTTCAATGGGAACGCCAGCAACAGATGCAACTTTTGGTGATAGAGAATGAATCCGAACTTGAAATCAAGACACATGTGGAAGACCTTGTTACTTTGGAGGACCAACTGAGTGAAGCCCAGTGAGTCACATGAAATGTGCATCTTGTTCAATCTAACTTGGGATTGATTGAACCATCAAAACCCAAAGACAGGATTACATTGAGATGCAACAGGCTAGAAGGAGGAATCTGACCACTTCCCAGATAATGCGGCTTGAGCAAGCACCAGACACCATTGCATTCTTGCAAGAGGAAATCAATCAAGTTATTAACAAACTTGGTTCAGATAGGTATCAAGATCTAAGTGGTGTATCAGGAAAGTTATCTGGTAATTCTTCACCACCCCAGATGCTGACTGTGGACTCCCATGTACCTTAGATCCAGAGACCAATGCTCTGATGAAATTGGTTGTCAGCAAGTCTAAGCTATATGAGGCCAAAGTAGTTGTTATGGAGCTTCAAAGGCGGTGGGATCAAAGGTCCTCAGGTTAGATTTAAAACATCCTTTTTTTGCATGTATAATAAAATTTCCCCCACTGAACATTCTTTGACAGGAACCCGGGTGCAGGACAGATTCAAGAAGCAAATGAATGCCAAAATGAGGGTTTTCAAGAACAAATGGACATCTTATTACACTTGCACCACTAATTACAACTCCACGTATTCTCCCCAAATTGAAGTACCCACACCAACACTTGAAGATGTCCAGTCTTACAATGTTGAGAACCCCTTTTGGAACATTGGATCACTCAAACACCCCAAAGAGCCCTGGGCAATTGATTCAAACACCCAAAAGGGAATCCAGGCTAATTTAACTATCACCCACTGTCACAATGAATTGCGCCAAATTTCAAGGGAGGTCAGGCAGGCAATAAAATGGTCAATGGAATTGTTGCTCAAATTGACTTCAATTCTAGACCATTTGGATATTGGTGAGTTTTCTCTTTATTGATAATGTTTAATATAATAGAAGATCACTGATTAAGTGGCATCTGAGGCAGGAATAAATGGAACTGATGTTCCAACTTGGCCACAACAACACATTTGTCACATCTTGACCAGCCAAAACGTTGCAATTGTTGTATTAAAATGTGTGATATCTAATTTCGCAAAGAGGCAATGTTGTCTATGGATGTCGTGGAATGCTCACTGTGGTGAACTTTTGAAATGGAGCCAGAAGTGGATCAATCCAGATCATCCAGAATTCAACCTTGAACAGCAATGGAATTGTCAGCCTGCTACTATTCAGAGACAACCTGACCATAGCATAATAAATATTTAGAGACATTATTACATATACTACATGTAATTAATGTCTATTTTATATGTACATAATGTAGAGACATTATTACATATGTACATATAAAAACATTAATATTTAAATAAGTGGAATCACTATAATAGAGACATTATTACTCATTACATTAAGTTTTACTAGTCATGAAAGAAAACATAAAAATAAACCAAAAAACATTTATAAATAAACATTTTTAACATGAATCTACAAATAACTTCTAAACCTTAAGCAAAAGTTAGAATATTATTTCAGATTCTTAATTCTTATGCAAAATAACCTAGGGTACCCCACCAGAAGTACCCCTGAATTATTACTCCTTCAGGTACTTCTGTGTACTCTGAGTGACACTTGCTCATTTTGCTAAAAAACCCTCCCAGTTACATCATACTACATGTTGTGACAGGTCTACATATGTAATTAAGGTTCATGCAGTTCGGGAAAAATCTACAAATAAGGTTGACATCATTGAAACCTTAACTACAGTGTCACAACAACTGTAACTGGCTGGTCAAAAGCCATTTGTGGCCCTTTTTGGCCCAATTTGGCTAACTACGCCTGGTTAAGACCAGCCCACTGGTCATTAAAGGGTCCCAGTGCCCAAACCATGGCTGAAGTTTCGTCACAGCACCCCTTAGTGCGTGTTACAAGCCTCACTTCAGCCCTCTGCCACCTGTAACCAAGGACTACAGGTGTCTAGGCAGTGCTACAGGTCACCAATGCCTAGTAGGAGGCTTGCACCTGCAAGATAGAGTTCTGAGCTCGCCTCCAAGGGCCCAGAATGAGTATATAAGGAGCCCTTCTTTCCCCCGAACTCTAAATCCCCATCTTCATCATCACTTACCAGCAATAACCACCTCCAACAACCAGTTTATCACCTGTTTTGGCCCAGTTCCTGCTGTTTTTCATCCTGAAGTTCAACCAACCAACCATCAACTTTTCCCCAGCACTCTCTCACCACCTGTTACCCAGTTTTCTGAGCGCTTCCAGACCAGTTTTCCTCCTCCTGAAGTCCCCCTTGGCTTGGAAATAGTACAAGTAGGTAATATTTTCTTGATACTTCAGTTGTAGGCATTTTGTCTGGGCATACTACTTTACACAAAGGACCAGATCATCAGGTACATCAAAAATACCCCTGTTTAACAGGTCCTGATTCCTTGGAGGGCACCATAAAAACCCCTGTAACTCAGGCCCCTCCTTTTATAAAAACTTAACAGTTTTTATTATTTCTTTTCTTAATATCAATTACCTCCCCATTCCAAGTGTTACCCACACTTGTACACCATTTTTCTTAGCTTTGCACCTGGTGTAGCTAGAAGAGTCTAGCTCTTGGCATCACCCAGGCTGACAGGAATGAGTTGGTTGCAAAGTCACATGGCTTGTGGGAAAAAATGACAGGAGGCCAATCTGTTATTATGGACGCCGCTCCAGAGGACGAACAAACCTGGTGGACAGGATAATGAATCAGTCAATGAGGATGGAGACACATTCGAAGATATCATGTAGAATTAAGTCATCTGATTGACTACTTACTCCATCTAATGTACAGTTGCTGAAGTGTTATCTTGGTGCTAACAAAATAATAGCCTTTGAATGCTTGCTTTTGAACAACTTCAAACTCATAATTGGCACAAGATCAACATTTATAAAGCAATTTATCCTTCTGGGTCATGTTTTTTGAAGAGTCCTCTTACCATCAAGTGCAACATCCAATCAGTTCCTGTCTGTCACCATGATTCTGCCTCTAGATATCCAAAAATGGGAATTAATCTTGATGAAGCCACACATCACAAATCCAGACCTTGATGAGTTGTAGGCCTGATGGGTAGATTGCACCTTAGATTTTTTCAATATCAGAACTAAATAAATATCACTACTCTCAAGTTTTCTTGATGGTTCTATTAATTTACTAATTAGAATATATGGAACTGAAGTAGAACATCTGATTTGAATAAATAAATAATCATAAAGTATAATTGATATTTTTGTTTACCTCATCCAAGTGCTAATAGCAGATATGACAGAAGAAACACAAATGAGCAATAGTTGTTCAGCACACAAAAAGGAGATAGGGGCCTGGATTGGTGCTTTAGAAGGCAAGGACACAATGTGTGTTTACCTGGAGGAAATTTACAATTGAAGGCAGTCAATAAATGCCAGTAGTCAAGCAGGATAACTGGCTCAAGATTTACCCACCCAATCTGCTAAATACAAATATTTGAAATAGCACCTTAGCACTTAACCATAAAGTGGGTGTTTATTTCAACTTTCAGCCTTAGAAATAGCCAGGAGCAGTTGATAATCACCCTCCACCCCCTTTGCACACCCACACCTGCACCCCAAAAAAATGGTGTGTGGTGTTGGAATGTCATTCCTTGTCTTAGCCCTCGAAAGAGGAGATTTTCAGGTTAGTTTATCTTATTGATAAACTGCCTGAAAGTTAAAATATCATCGCGCTGATCATTAAATTTCTTGATCATGTGTAGAGTTGAGCTGTTCTACAAGAGAACAAGATTGAGCCAAGCTTAAACACAAATGATGATTGTGATCAATCATCACACTCTAGGTGAATCTCAATTCATTTGTTCACAAGAGCAAGAGAATTAGAAAAGATCAAACAATTCTAATTCCCAGTTTATCTTGCAAACCATCATCCTTATCTCGTGCAGCTTATTCTCATCAAAGATAACATCAATTAAACTCATCGACTGTATCTTTCCGCCTTCAAGCAATCCATCAAACAATTATCATCACGCAAGACTCTAGCTTAACAAGCATTACAGTTTTTGTTTTTAGAAAATTAAAGTATCTTTCACTTATTTACACATAGGAATAACAGAAGGATAACTTAGAAAGATAAGTAACAATCAATAAACATTTAGTCATCTTTAGTCTCTTTTATAAGAACAACTTAGCCAATTTATCCTTTTACTGTTATCTTAACATCAGCAGTAGAAACAGCAGATTATATTTTTACTGATTTCATTGACCTTTATAAATAGGGCTTGGGAAAAACGGCTCCCATTTTTTTGCCAACGACTCCCAACGACCATCAGCGGATGTCTGTTGGGAGTCATCTTCTAAAGTCTGGGCGGATTTTGGGAGTTGTCCGCCCAATCTCATTTTTTTTTTTGATATTTTTTTTGGGAGTCGGCTCCCCAAACCACTCCGTCATGCATGGGGGGGGGGGGGGGGGGG